CTTTTGTTTCCCACTCCCAGGCGTAGCCCTGACTTATAGTGACTACACGCTCTCCTGCACTCAGGCCAGCCGCAAAGGACATTGAAGTGTTCTCTACCTCCTGGGTCATATAGTTTGAAGTAGTTTTGTGGAAGATCCACACAACAAAAATCGCGTACTGGACCACGGCCCCGGTGTGCTATGTTGTGGTTCACAGGAACGCACCGGGTATCCTTACAGAAAGGAACCTAAAGAGCAGCCTTACTGAAGGGACCCATGCGTTTTAGCATATCCTCTCGGCCTCCCCCATATATATTTTCCTCAATATTGCGAGACATAGGGTTGTCTATGAACACAAAATCCATGCCATCAGTATAAGCTTGAGAGTGTGTCACCTCTATATCCTACCCTTCCACCTTACATCTCTCGTGCACTCCTGTTTCTTGGCTTCCTGCATAGTTACCATACTGTGGTGCTGCAACCATAACTCTAGGAGCGCCTTCTGCAGGTTCTACTATAATGTACGTGACATTGTCCCCGACCAAAGGAGGAGACTTTACAGTTTCATCCTCCGCGCGCTAGTCCTTGGGAGTAGTTGCGGCTGTAGGGGCAGCGATCTGTTGTTCGCTGAATGACTCTGCTCAGTCCGGACGACGACTGTTTGTGTTGGCGATTCCCACAGAACTCTTGTTGGAGAGGAATGCTTCCAGTAGGCGTCGCATCTCCCGGACGTCTTCCCTGACTTCACGAACCTCCATGCTAGTTTTTGCAAGTTCGTTCCAGTTCGTGGACCTTGGAAGGCAGCTGCTCCATATCGCCGATGACGTTTGGCTCTGAAACCAATTTGTTACGGTCCCGTGCGTAGGATCCCGTCACGGGTCGGTCCACGGTGCGAAAGCCCTGCTTTCCCTTGCGCCTTCCCTTGCGCATAGACCCTATTTTGCTTATCTAATGGGTGATTTGTCCAAGAGACCACCCGAACTCTCCCTTGGGGTGATTTGTCCAAGAGACCACCCAAACTCTCCTCACTCKTTTCTTGRYTGGAAAACTRAATGMTTTATTTCAATTCGTAGCTCCTTAAATAGGAGATTACAAAAGAGAATTCCTTGTTGGATTCAGCTAGGCTACGGTAATCCAACTCAAACTAAAACTCCTAATTTCCTACTTAAACTAAAACTCATAACTCTTACTTAAAAAGATAAAATAAGATAGGAATAAGATAAGGGATAAGGGATAAGATTAAGCTGGCGGCGAGTTGACGTGTCCAAATAAGGGTGGGCCCACCCCTATGAGCTGTCGTGTGGGCCCCGCTCTGCTGTTGCTACCGGGTGCATGCGCGCGGCTCATGGTGCTGCTGACGCGCGGTGCGTGCTGCTGCCTATGACTGCCGCGCAGTGCGTGCGCGCGCCTCAGGGTGCTGCCGGCCTGCGTGCGCGCGCCTTTCTGTGCTGGGTGTGTGCACGGTGTCTGCTGCCAAGCGGTGCCTGCTGCTGTGCGTACTGTTGCCTATGACTGCGCCGCGGTGCGTCGCTGGATGGTGTGACCATAACACTGTTCCTCATCCAGGTCAACAACCAGAGGCTGGGGGTGAACCTCCTCCCCCGGGAGCTCGATAGAGATCGGCTCTGGCGCTACGACCTCGTGTTCAGCAGGAATTGAAGAATCGGCCTCCTCTCGACATGACATCTTCGAGGCCTTTCTCTTCTTTCCCTTCTAAACACTCATCAGAAGGTTAGCCGCGTCAACACCCGTCATAGCTTCTATAAGAGAGAAGAAATAAAGTTATCTACGAACTGAAGTAAGTGTGAAAAGAAAAAAAGGAGAAGTAATGTGTGTGCCGAGGTGGAGGCCTACCAGGAGGACTCAGCCCAACTCACACAAGCTTTTCCTCAGCCAGGAAATCTTTCATTGCAAGGCCGAGGTCCCTTCAAGAGTTGATGACCGCCCTAGTCTCAGCATCTAGCCTCACCCCGGGGTCCTTAATGGCCACTCGCTAGTGAGTCGGGAATGGTCATCCTTCAGGATTCCGAACAAAGAAGTACCTCCTCTTCTACGTCGATACTTTGTTCGGGTTACCGAACAGAACCTTGAACCCGGGGCGAGGGGAGACATAATAGCTTTGTCGGGTGTCCCCGCGCATGCAAGAAGAGTTCTTCTTGATATAGCAAATCGAGCTAAAGATGTCTAGGGTAAGACGTCAGTTATACTCGTGGGAAAGTGAGATCGTGCCAACAATGGTATGGATGGAGTTCGGGTCTAGCTGGTCAATAGTGATGTTAAAGAACTTAATGATTTCTACGATTAAAGGGTGGAGCGGGAAGCGCAACCCAACTACGAGCTGCTCCTCAAAAACCGCGAGCTCGTGATGACTGTGAACCCAAGGGTAATGACCCAGAGGAATACTGAAGACAAGAGTGTCGGGGAGACGGTAACGGGCTATCAAGGACAACAATCTGTCCGAGGTCATCGTGGAAGGGCCGATGTTGTTCGGATCCCGACCTCGAGAAGTAGATGGGACCCCCTCTCCGGAGGTAATTTTCTCTACCTGAGGTTCAGGTTCCCCACGCCAAGATGGCTTGACGTCAAGTAAAGGTGTTTCCCCTAAAAGGTGTAAAGAGGAGCTCTCTAGTGAAGAGTTGGCCTCACCGGCGGGAGCCGAGGACCGCACCTTGGCACCCTCAAGCTCACTATAACCGCTAAGTAGCCTATATGTGCTAGCACTAGACATAGTGGACAAGAAAAGGAAAAGGGAACAACTAGTGAAAGAAGATGAACTCACCAAAAAGACGATAACGACCTCAGACACAAAGGAAAAAATGGCGAGCTGAAGGACTTCGACGCGATCTCAGGAGAGCTTAGTTACATGATTTATGGCAAAGGTAATGGGCCCTTCGGAGCTCTATTTATAGTCCACCACATTCGGCAATCAACGGTTGAGACCTGTACGATCCGACGGCTCCCATGAAAACCGGTTGCACACTACCCGAAGACGAAATCGATTGAGCGCGCCCTTTGGCATCCGTGGAGTTTATAAATAGTGTGACGTCCGCACGTGCCCGAGACGCGACCTGGGTCATTTTGTGGTTGAGCCAAATGATTGAACTGGCCCAACCAACGGTTCGCGCTCCGAATCGTCTAGACTTCGTGCCAAATCCACTTGGACTCGTCATGAACTCCCCACACCTGGTTAGGACCCCTGACACGAGGAGTGGGGGGCAATTGATAAGGGATGATTTGGCACAACCTAGTAAGAAGGGGACACGTAGACGCGATTTGCTCGAGGGATGACAACTCATCCAAACGAACCCACTTCGCAACATTCGAAGCTCGAGTATCCAGCCACCTCGGCCTAAAACACCACCTCGACACCCCATACAGTTCACGAATAAAGAATCGAAGTGCCAGTTCGGAGTTAAAGAACTGAAACGCCACATAATCGATTCCAAAGGCCTCTCCAACAGACCTCGAATTTCTCGAGATCACGATGAGACTCGTCCTAGCTCCGTCTGAATCGGAGGTAAACGATAAACCTTATCAACATATTGCTCTCCTTCAAAAATGGAACAAACCCTATCTGCATAGCCCAGAATTCACAGAGCTCTTTCGTAAGGCCCACGACTACTCCAGTATATAAGGACATGAAATCTCAGGCCAAAGGTATGCGTGATTATTTTACTCACTACCATTCAAGCACTCAAGATTCAGCTCACATTCATAGTATAAGTACTGACTTAAGCATTGGAGCGACCTCGCTGGGTCAGCTACCCCAGGTTCTCTAATCTACTATTTTGCAGATTGGTCCAGCTCGTTGCCCAACTGGAGTTCGGATTATCTTCTAGCTACGAGTATCTAAATCGCGCACCATCAGTATACATATTTGTTTTCATTTAAAATAAACATAAAATGATATTTTGTATGAAAGCTATTCTCATAATATCATACATTCAATCATGGTTCTCGAACTATTGTTGACCTGAATAGTTGGATTTCGTCTCGGGAATTGTTCAGACAACCAGTTCCATTTTAGTCCAAATCTGGTCTTTGGCAAAAAATCGTTGAAAAAATTAACAATCTATTGATCTGAACGATTGAACCGTCAACCCATTAGCTTGCTTAACAGTTTTGGCCATTTTTATTTTTTGTCAGAAAGGATCATCTATTTGAACCAAACGATCGAACCATCGACCCAAAGATTGGTAGCTGGAATGATTCCGTTTCCAGATCGTTTTTTAAAACCATGCATTCAATATAAGCATATGGGCCCAGATGGATCATTCCTGGATCCGATTTGAAGGAGTTTCACTTTCACATATGTTGTGCTCTATCAGGGGCCCGGATGCGATCTCCGGTTGAAGCAGTGAAGCACAAGACGGGGCAGATGTTAGACCTATTCATGAGCCGGGTGGCCCGACGGGCCAGCCCGACCCCCGGACAGGCATATAGGCCCGCGGGCTTAACCTCGGGCCAAAAAGCCCGACTCGTAATAAATTCGAGCCGGGCTCGAGATTTGCCAAAATAGCTCGGCCCGACCTATAACTAAACCTAAAAACCCTAGTTGAATACCTCTCTTTTTTTCACCTCCTTCCCTTCTTTTTCCAACCTTCTTCTCCACATCCTCTTTCCCTTCTTTATATTCTTTTTTTAATATAAATAAATTTTGAATTTATATATATTTTTTAATGTGAATAAATTCTGATTTATATTGATTATTGAATAGGGAAAATTTCTAATTTTTTTTATTAGGTCGGGCTTCGGGCTCGGGCTCGGGCTTCGGGCTTTTTATTAGGGTTGAGCTTGGACCCAAGTTGTAGGTCCGTTGGTCGGGCCGGGCTCTGGCTCGGGCCTAACATATTTCTGCTAATGGAGAGTAAAATCCCGGCCCGGCCCGGCCCATGAACAGGTCTAACAGATGTTAGATCGTATGTACGGTCCTAGCTAGGATTATAAAATTCAATGTTGCTTTGTCCATCGGACGGTCCATACCGACAAGTAGATTCACCAATCGCCAACGCAAAGCTCAGGAGATGCATCAGCATCGTTCATCGTGTTGTTTTCTTGAGTGCATATTTAGGAGAAGATGAATGAAGAAAAGGGCAATACTGTAACGCCTCCTAAATCGTATTTCAAGGAGACGACACTGTCACCACTTCCATAACCATGAGATCCATTTCCTGTTTTCTTCTGTTCATCTTCATTATCCTTCTACATGATGGTATCATAGCTTCGCGAGCTGAAGTTATAACCCTTACACCAGATACGTTCACTGACAAGGTAAGACCCAAACCCTAACTTCCCTATTGCATCTTCTTTCGTTCTGTTATCTATTATCAGTATTGGATCAAAGAGTTGTTCCGTACCATGTCCAACTGGTGTTAAGATTGTTGACTTTTAAGTCATTTAATTCCCTCATTTTTTTCCCGAAGCCATTTAATTCCTTCAATTTATATATTGTGTTAACGCATTTTCATTTTTACCGAATTGGGTCCTTATGTGACTTTCATAAGTTATTCTTGGATGTATGATCTTATCTACCACTGTTTTCATTGAAGAGTATGGTAGTTAGGTTTAAATCGGAGCAGGGATAGGATCATAATATGCTTTTTTTTTTATCACCATCTTGCATCTTATTTGCTCACCAGTGTTACATGCGTCGTGAACTCGGATCAATTTACAAAGTTATCTCTACAACGCTCAGGCATCTTATTTCTCTTGGTTGCAACATTCTACAACACTACATATTTACTTTTCTATTCTCTCCTGTTTCATTTTAGGTGAAGGAAAAGGATACTGCTTGGTTTGTGAAATTCTGTGTCCCTTGGTGTAAGCATTGGTAAATATCCTTATATCTATTGGTTTTACATGTTAAAGTGGATTTTGCCCTTTTAAATTGCCTGGTCACTGATAATGGTAAACCTGGGTTTCAGTAAGAACTTGGGTTCATTGTGGGAGGACTTGGGAGCAGCCATGGAAGGGGAAGATGAAATAGAAATAGGACAAGTTGACTGTAGTACAAGTAAACCAGTTTGCACACAAGTTGACATCCACTCATATCCAACATTTAAGTTATTTTATGACGGAGAAGAAGTTGCTAAATATCAAGGTAATCTTAGTGTTCGTAGTTTATTCTCTATGGTTTCTTTGTCATAAATATCCCGAATCTATGGTTTTCTTCTTGTGATCAAATTTAATAGTTTTACTTCCATTCCTTTTGCCTATTTTACAATAGGGGTATATCTGCTTGTGAGGAAAACGTAACTAATAGCTATCAAGGGAGCAATTAATTGAATTTGATAATATTAGTGTTTCCTGGTCCTCTGTTTTTCCAAGACATGGACGGTTTATATGGCAAGTCCAGACCTCCATCTGGTCATGGACACTATGCATTACCAGCATGTATGGTTTCACTGCCAGTCTGTAACCTCCTATCCCACTACGCTTTTCCCAACAAAAAAAAAAAAAAACAATAATGGATTTTGAATTTCATTGAACGTATGTATATGCATTGGGCAAGTATTACTCTTTTGCCTTGTGGCAGAAACGTACTGAACTGAAACTTAATACATGGAAAAAGGTTGATCTAGAGAAACTAAATGTTATCTTTCTATTTATAAGTACCATGTGTTGGGGGATCTTAAACCAGCACACATTTAACTAGTTCACACTCTGATTTGGTAAATTAGTGATTTATTTATAAAAAAAAATAAATTCTGTCGGGGAATCTTACACCAGCACCATTTCTGCTTGGAACAGCTTGTTTCTTGGATACAGTATGCTATGTAGTGAGAATTGTTATGAGATCTGCTTTCAGTTTCCCCCAGATCATCCATGTGAACAAAATCTCTTTTTCTTGGTATTTATCTTCAAGCACTTGAGACTTTTTACCACTTATCAATGAGCTCAGAGCTTGGATTCAAAAAACCTTCATATTATATTTATTTAATGGAGCACAAGTTCCCAAAGACAAAACACTTACATGGAAAACATTGACATAGCTCTTTCATCTTTTAGTTGGTATGCACAGATAGAGTTGGCAATTTTTCATTTGGAATGCTAATATCATGCCATTACTTTCTCTTTTTCAACTAATTTATCATATCTTTTTGAAGATATATCAAAAAGAAAATTCATTAATAAAGAAATGATAACACCAGCCACTGGTAGGTTACCTAGGAAAAAAGGACAAAACTCAAAAAACCCACCATAACCTTAATCAACTACGAATCTTCCCCCTGAAACAAAATTAAACCCTACTTCAGCCCAATCCAATAAATCCTTAAAACCTTGACCATAACATCAAGCCCCCATTTTACTTAACAAAACCTCCCTAATTCCCCTCACCTTCTTTTCAACATCTAAAATCACTAGATTTATCCTCCTATCCTGTGTCCACTTCCATGAAAGCTTTTCTTGCAAACTCTTCTTAACCCAAGAAGAAAAGACCCTAATTTGACTTGAACTTCTGCTTCAACAACTTCTTCCAGCTCAATTTTCTTCCCAACCACTCTTACTTGATCCACAATCTGTTCAACTTCGCTATATTGCAACTCCTAAATTTCCTCCTCCATATCTGAAATAGACTTATTATGGTCCAAACTTTAAAAGTCTTATTTCATTAGGAACAGAAGTCTCGAAATTTAAAAATGCTTGATCCTGCTTAGAAGTCAATCCTTCATCCTCCTATTATTTATTCCTACTTCTAACTCTTACCCTCTCCTTTTTATATACATTCTCTTAAGTTTGTTGCTAGGACCTTCTACAAGGAGACCCTCCTTCGACTAAGAGAAAACCTTCATTATATGAATCATCTGCCATTGTTTGGTCCCTTTAAATTCTTTGGCTTCAACAGAGTTTTGCCATTGATTCATCAAAAAAGAAAAAAAAAAAACAGAGTTTTGCCTTTGGTTTCATTCCTTCATACCATTTCATCCATATTTACTTTCGGTCGCTTTCTCCCCAAATCTTTGGTCAGTTTCCCTACTATAATTTCAGCAAAATTTCTTGTATTGGACAATTCCTCAATTTCTTCCAACATTGCAAATTCTCTGTCATATTTAATGCATATTCTGTGAAGCTTCTAACATTCATGAAGTCTTTAATAATAAAATGTATCAATATATATTACTTATATGATTTTATGAAAAGCAAGTATGCCATTCAAGGTTAAGAGAGAACTTACTAGAACTATCCATTGCAGGAAAGGAGGGTCGGATGAAAGATTAGAGTGAGCAAAGTGGACTTCTTGGTTTTCTTTGGCTCTTACATTATTTTATTCTTAAAATTTGAAAGAGACCAAAGATAGATATGCTTTAAAAATATAATGAATATAACAATTATTTATTTCCTGAATGTGATTTTTCTAGATAAACAAAAAGGATTTTGAATTTTTAGATTTAAAACAAGATAAGAAATTTTGCTTGTTCATGTGTTTCTGGGATCTTTGATTGTTTGCCCAGGGTGATAACTTATGCTTCCCTTTCGGGTTGTATTTAGATGATTATATGTCCCATATCTTTAAACAATACAAGCTTGATTCAGACTCGTATGGATCTAAATGTGGCATAGAGGCTCAGTCCATGAGGCACAAGCCAAGTTCAGGCAAGTTGTTCTCACAAACAGGCCAAGCTAACTGAGCTTATATACATGTCTATTTCTTGACTTATAGATAGTAACCTTTTTATCACGTTTTCTATTTATCTTGTTTCTAACCAGCACTAAATTTATTGAGATTCTCCTTTTTGTTTTCAATGTTGCTCACCTCTGGTTTTATTGCCCATTATCTTGAAACCATGAGAAGCACTTGATTATAAATTGAATTGGACCTATTTCATCTACTCACCAAAATGCATTGATTATCTTGACAGTATGGCCGGCCAGAAGTAAAAGGAAGAGAAGAGAAGAAGAAGAGAGAAGGGAAAAGAGAAGAGAAGGGATTTTGCAATGTAACAGTGCTGGCGGCGCCAGCTTTATTATAATATATATAGGGCAGCAGAAATAAGAAGGGAAAAGACCCTTGTGCCCCTGCTATAAGTGAGTACAATAACAAACATAATAGAAGTGAAAAAATAGAAATAATAAACACTTTAACTAGCCAAACAAACCCTAACACCAACAACTAAATTATTTCAACACTCCCCCTCAAGTTTGAGCATAGATGTCAATCATTCCCAACTTGTCACACAAATCTTTGTGCCGCACATGATGAAGACCTTTGGTGAAGATATCTGCAAGTTGTTCTTTTGAGCTGACATATGGAGTACACACTTCTCCATTTTCAAGTTTCTCTCTAATAAAATGCTTGTCCACTTCAATGTGTTTCGTCCTATCATGCAGGACTGAATTAGCAACAATATTGATGGCAA